GGTGGGCAGAGCACAGATAGCCCATTGTGTAGCTTTGTGCTTAATTACAAACAAACAAACAAATTAAAATTATGAGGTCACAATACAAAACATTTTAATACACATAGACGTTACATTAATTTCTCTCACACTACTACCATACTCGAAACTCCACTCCACAGTTGTTGTTGTTTTGTAAAACTAGCTATTCTGATGTACGTTATCTTTGTAAAGTAGTTACAAGACATATCCAATAGAACAGTCCTTAAAGCATTTTTCTAAGGTAATATTATAAGGTTCGATTGGTTTGTTTGTTTATTTTTTAAATCAGAAACGAGTATATAAAAACGAGATTTTGATATGATTCACTAAGATTTGTTTTATATCTTTATCGGAAATGAAGAACTAAAACTTTAAAAACCATAAAGTTTTATCAACATTTCAGTTAATAAAAAGCAAATATTGCAACACACAAAAAGTAGAATATGATTGTGTGATTTTTAGAGCAATTTACCAAAACCGTAACAATATCACGAAAAAGTTACAGTTTACACGATGAAAGCATTAGAAACTAATAGGCCTAAAATTTGTGATGAAAATCACGTCAATAGCAGATGAATTTTTTCCTACATCTCAGTTCCATCTCCTGTCTCCCATAAGTCACCGTCTAAGAGGCCCTTCGTTCAATACCAGAATTTGTCTTGTACGCCCCTAATTGTGAATCCACAATTGACAAATTGAGAAGAATGTGGAAAAATACATTTGCAGTCGATATGATTATTCGTAAACTCTAGGCCTATTCGAATACTGAGAAAACTTTATTTACCCCAGGTTTGATTAAATTTGTATGTGAAATAAATAGAGCAATTTATTAAAAGTCCTTTTTGAACAATCGTAAAATTTAATCCCCCATGTTGAAATTATATCATTTTGACATTAATATATATTTTTTAGCCAAATAGTATTTAAACCAGCCATTACCTCTTACCAGTTGGTCTCTTCAACCAAATCAGGCAGACATTCACTGAAAGTTGAATTCTGGACTCTTCCCCCTCTATCCCTCTCTCTTTCTACCTCTCTTCTCCTCTTCCTTCTGCGAGATGTATTGGTCACCACAACTTTCTTTGAGCCTTTATATAGAGAATTTACCAGTCAATCAAGTGTTTACGTTCGTTTGCTGACGCCCAGCTAGAATCCGAGAGCGAAATAACAATTTGGTATGATAACCCTCAAGCACGATGACATACTGTTGCTGGGGCCTCGTGAATATTTTTTTATGAACCTTTAAGATGATAGCACAAATAAGCACTAAAGAATATGAATGTTTACCATGTAGTGCTATGTTAGTTTTTTCTTTTCTTCTTCTTGTGTAGTTTGTATGCGATGAGCACTGTGTGACATCACTTCCGTCTCTTTTTTTCTTTTCTTTTTTTTTTGTACACATTGTGGGTCAATCGTTTTGCCACCGACTGAACTTAAATGATGATTTCGCTATTATTACTGCTATTTAAATGACTTAAATCTGAAGCCTTCGATCTAAAAAAAATGTTTATATAAGATTTCAGTATCAGGAAAACAAGTTCAAAGTACCTAAATTTTGCAAGCTTTATCGAAAAACGTTTTCTGCAGTTGTTTTCAATAATGATAAGAAATTAAGAAAGGAGAAATTCAATCTAGTTGTCTCTTAATTTTATGTCACTTTTCTGTTATCATATCACATAAATACAATTTATTAAGGCTTTGTTAGTAAGTTGCAATTATATAACTACGCCTCAACTTAAAGCCCCAATAGAGATATAATTTTATTTTGCAACGTCAAACAGTTGAGTAAGAGTTGTCAATATAATTAACATATACATTTATAGCGTGACAAGTTTGTTTGTTTTTGAATTTCGCGCAAATCTACACGAGGCCTATCTGCGCTAGCCGTCCCTAATTTAGCAGTGTAAGACTAAAGGGAAGGCAGCTAGTCATCACCACCAACCGCCAACTCTTGGGGTACTCTTTTACTAACGAATGGTGGGATTCTAAACGTTTTCTTACGGGACCGTTTTATCCAATGGGTAAAAGGGCCAGTTACCCATGGCCCACCGCGCATTGCGAGTATAGTAATAAATATGAAAATAAGCTAGTTTTAATATATTTTCTTTTTTTTATTTTCGTAATTTTTTATAACTAATTTAGTTTATCAAACTGTTTAGTATTTTCTTAAAAGCAAGGGGGCCCGCTAGTTTATACTTCGCCCAGGGCCCACCAGTGCCTTAATGCGACACTGTTTTCATGCACATGTATATTATATGTTTCTTTTTTTCCAAAGAACAAGTAAAATATTTCCTTTTAATCTCACTGTTATGTGTGTCGTATATATTGTTAGAGGTTACTCTACAACACGACTGCTGAAATAATAACAATTTCTATCATTTTCAAGAAGCATTCTTTAAAAATTTTCAACGTATGCTATACCGTACTGAATAAATGTATCTGTAAAGATACAAATTTTATGAATATGTTTTTAACAGAACGGAACAATAAAATATGTAACAGCACTAAAACGAAACAATATCAAATTCCATTGTTGCTTTAACCAGGCGACACTAACGAGGTTTTGTGAATTGGTTAGTTTGTTTGTTTTTTGGATTTCGACTTTCTTTCGGAGTTGTTGTTTAAACATTTTAGGTAACAGAGGTGGCCCGGCATGGCCAGGTGGATAAGGCGCTCGACTCGCAATCTGCGGGTCGCGGGTTCGAATCCCTGTCCCACCAAACATTCTCGCCCTTTCAGCCGTGGGAGCGTTATAATGTGACGGTCAATCCCACTATTCGTTGATAAATAAGTAGCCCAAGAGTTGGCGGTGGGTGGTGATGACTAGCTCCCTTCCCTCTAGTCTTACACTGCTAAATTAGGGACGGCTAGCGCAGATAGCCCTCGTGTAGCTTTGCGCGAAATTCAAAAACAAACAAGTAACAGAGGTAAAAACAATATCAGTTACTGAGAACAACAACAATATTAGAAAAATAAACCTATTTTAAAGTAAACAATAATAACTCTATTATCATAGTATATACAACAACAACAATACAAGGAAAAGAAGAAGAAACCCCTTATTAATTAATGTATATATGTATGGTTCATCTTGCATAACTGAAGAGGACCATCATCATCCATTGATTTTGTGTGTTCGAAGATGACTGATTAGCCCGATCTTGGCTTGAAAATGTCTGGCGCAATGAGGGCAAAACAACAGGGGGGAGAGGGGCTGGTGGATTCTGATGGTTGCTTCCTAATGCTTTACGTGCTGCACGCTCGTTCTGGGCTATCAGGATACGATGTTGTTCATGTGTGGCTGCTCCCTTTGTGACAGAACTCCTCCAGGTTGGGCGGTTTTGGGCAAGAGTTTCCCAGATATTAGGATCGATGCTGCAGTCCTTTGGCACAAACTTGAGTGTGTCCTTGTAGCGCTTCTTCTGACCACCACGGGAAACGTGCTCCGGTCTGTAGTTCACCGAAGAAGATACGTTTGAGGAGGCGATTGTCTGGCATTCTGACAACATGGCCGAGCCAGCGGAGTGTAAATGCTGAGCATGTCAGACCTGCTTAGGACCTCGGTGTCAGGGACCTTGTCTTGCCATTTGATGTTCATAATTTTGTGTAGACAGAAGAGATGGAAGTGATTGAGTTTTTTTGGCATGCCATTTGGTAGACAGTCCATGTTTCAGACGCGTAGAGGAGGGTAGTGAGAAAAACTGCCCTGTAGACTCTCAGCTTGGTTTTGAGAACTAATATTTCATCCGTAAATACACAACTTTACATCATATGTTTCAAGCGCATTGAAACTCACACATGGAATTTTTATTTAAATAATGCACGTTTCTCAATGTTTTGTACAGTCTTCAGCTTCCATGGTCGTAATTTTGAACTGAATATGATGATTTGGTTCTTTTTTCTTTGAAAAACGTTTTCAAAAGTTAAAAAAACTTACAGTTCTGATAAAGAATTTTAAAAAATGACTAAAGAGAACTTTGGCATTGTCGTGTAATACAGCTTCTCAGTAAGACACATTGAATTAATATTTGTTTTGAAGGAAGGAAACTTAGTTAACATCACCCATTACCAACTCTTGGGCTACTCTTTTACCAACAAATGGAGAGATTGACCGTCACATTATAATATCTCTACGACTGAAAGGGCGAATATGTTTGGGGGGATTCGAATCCGTGACCCTCAGATTGCGAGTCGAGCGCCCTAACCACCTGGCCACAAACAAACTTACTGAGGTAACTCGAGTGCAATACTTAAAAACGCTAAAGCTTCTTGCTTCTCGTTAAATTTCAGTTTGTCGTCCAGAGCAAATAATTTATACTTAAGATTCAAAATGCACCAAAACTTTAACTTCAGTAGTTTCTTGTCTACATCTTCCAACGATCTTTGTCAATTTTATGTAGGCCCTAAAAAAATATCTCTAACTAGAAACTGAACAGTGTTGTTAAAGATATGAAACCGGAGTTTGTTCTTTTATGTGTGGGGTTTTTAAATTTTATATTCATTCTATATCAAGAATAATAAAATGTTGTTTTTTATACATCTTAAACATCTTTATATTGTATAATTTTACTAAACACCTCCCTGGACAAAACAGGTTTGGTTCCTGGTATATTGGGGGGGGGTAATTTTTACTGAGGATCAATCTGGAAGCTCATGGCTTGTTCTAAAGTATAAATGTAGTAGTGTGTGGTCTACCATTGGTTTTTTAGGATCAATCTGGAAGCTCATGGATTGTTCTAAAGTATAAATGCAGTAGTATGTGGTCTACCATTGGTTTTTACAACACAAGGAAGGGAGGGGGGAGGTAATTACTGCATTTGTCCCCATGGTTGACTTCTTTGCATTCATATGTATCTCATGAAATAGAAGTCGTACCTTCAAATTTTTATAAGAGTGAAAGTGATAGCGATTTTTTCCAATCGATAATGACATCGTATGAAGGACCAAATATATCAAAACGTTGAGAAGACTAAGAAGAAAGCGTTAGGACAAGATTAACAAGGTCGTTTAGTGGGAACGTATATTCACTATCAATGCGCTGTTTATGTTGTAAATGTATGCTGGATAAGGCCACGGACAAGCTGAATTCCTTGACCCAAGTTGAAGATGTATCTCGACTTTATTTTACAAAACTTCCCTTCGTTTCAAAGCAAAAAGAGTTCAAGATATCGACCAGTATACGGATGATTGTGTAGCTCAAATGAAATTAAATCGGAATATACATATTGAACAAGAGTGAGATTAATTTAAGATATAAAACTTTCCATATTAGCTCAAGAAAATCTAAATTGCAGTTTATAGCATTTGCCAAGTAGACCAAGAATGTTCGAACCAAAATATACGCAATTTTTAAATTAATCGTTTACCTGTTGAAGCAAACAGATAGATGTGTATATAACAAGGAGTTGGTTAGGATCTGCTTGTTTCTTTTAGAGCAAGTTCACAACAGGCTATCTATTATCTCCAGCGCGGGGAGTCGAACGTCGGATTTTAGTGTTGTAAGTCTGTAGACTTACCGCTGTCCCATTGCGAGACGGCTAGGATCTGAAAGTTAGCCAATTTAATGATAAATGGATAAATAAATGCTGGTACACTATTTTTTTTATCAGACCTGTTTTTAATGATCTTTAGTATATATATATATATATTCAAAATTGTTCTTCAATTTGCTGGCACGGAAGCTGGAAGGACTCCAAAAGTGTGTGTGGGGGGGGGGGGAGGCACCTATATGTACGTGTATACCATGGCTTATTTTGTAAAATAAACATGGTGAGTGAGCAAACATTAGCACTCTCTTCACTAATGTGGTATCTTCCTTTCGTTTGTCCCCCCACTGCTAAAGTTCAGGGTTCGATATCCGGTGGTGGACAGAGCCTATTTTGTAGTTTTGCGCTAGAACAAACCATCCCCTTCCTTCCGGAAGGTGTCGGACAATTTATATTAGGCAGGGAATACCGTGAGGAACCATAGTTCCCTACAACATAGGTGTTTAAGAATTTTTTCCCGCTTTTCTTGTACATTGTTTATTTATTACATATTTTACCTAATTTCCTGGTATTAAACGTGGGGGATAGT